AGTAGTAATGGTTGCTAGGTGAATTCGTGCCATGAAACGGTCCATGCGCTTTGGAATGTATCTCTGAGATACGCAATGCCTGCCTAGTAATATCAATATCACACATCTCGTATGTTTATACATAACAATTAATATAATTGGTGAACTCATATATTAGTGTTTCTTGATTGTTTGTCCATTTACACTGATAAATAATTTATTACTCTAAGTAATTGCCACCAACAGTTCTTATCATTCATTGGAGCTTCCATACTATTTAGCAAACAAAGCTAAGAGAAACGAGACATTTGTACGGCAGCTATATGACAATTGACTAGTTGACACACAAGGCTTCTCTTTATATCCATATATAATTGTAAAACACGACCGACCATGTTATTACAATTAATAATATATTTACAACTACACGTAATGTAGACTGCAAGTGTAACGATCAAATAACGGTTAATTATCATGCAATTATGACCGGTTAAGTGGATCTCTACTCTGAATCTATTGGTATTGAATTATGACAAAGACTAAGTGTTCATTTGTGATTTTGTATTTATTAGAAATTTTTAAGTAAATAAACTATATTTAAGTGTGCATCAGGTAAAATGTAGATTCTTTTCAATCCCTTATTGACTATGTACATTATTATTATTATATATTTTTTAAACTGAATTTTGTTTATTATATTAACATATTAAACATGTTTCTATTAATAAACACAATTTAAAATTATTTAAAATATTTAATGTCTTTCTTTCTAATATTTAAAACATGTACATGTCTTGCTATTCTTAAAACTTCTTAAAACTAGAAAAAGTCATTTCTATATTTGTGCAAAAATAATTGATATACAAAGATAATTTATATTAGGATAAAATGAAATCAAATCAAATTAAATTGAATTGTAGTAAGGGATGATTTTACTAGACATAGTACATTATTGGTAACAAATATTAATCTTTATTTAACGTGTATATTATATTCATAAATAAAAGTATTATTTAGTTATATGAATAAGAGATTGGTGCTCCTGTAGATAAAAGTTAATGGCACTAATTGCCAATAAGGTCACGTATATAAACAATTGCCCTAAGCTAAACATATTTTAGGTCAGTATTATTTGTTCGTAATTCCATTAAAAACTTATGTTTATTTAATCATAAGAAAGGATTATTCGAATTTCTCGTCATGCTGCTCACACCAGAACCAACCTAAAAAATCTTATATATTTAAATATATCTATTTAAATATATTTTATAAAGTTAAAACAAAAAAAAATTTATACCATGAATGGATTTGCATGATAGGCTGGAAGAGTTGGTTGCCACACTTTATTTGTCATTAATTGACTAAACTGAATTACATCTCTGTTACTAGATGGTTCAATACCTACCCACTGTGGATCTAAAATATTTATATTTTTTAATTTATTTAAAAATTTCCAATATATTGAATTTTGTATTATTTAAATAAAAACTTACCATTATTCATAGGAAATTGTACTGGTTTAAAAGGATTAATAGGATTATATAGTGAGGTATCAATTGATTGTGTATTATTATTAACTACATTAGATGGTCGCCATAAATCACCAGCTGCAAATGGATTTGAGATTACATTTGCAGTTTGATTTCCTACACTCCAAATCGAATTTGAAGCTAGAAAAAAGATAACAAAACAATTTAGTAAAATTTTAATAAGTTAAAAATTTAATAATATAAATTATACATATACCATTATTAGTATTCCATGTAGATGTATTTACTGTTGTTGTAGTATCATCTTTCATTTGTATTTGCTTCATTAGAGAATCTAAGTCTTTCAGTGCCGCATAACGATCTTCTGATGGAGGTACATGCCCACCATTTGCATTCATTGTATTATTCAAATTTCCTGTAGTCTGACTAAATGGACTTGAGGATTCAACATCTAAACAATGATGAATTACCAATATCAAAATTATATCGCATTAATTTGTAGAAATAGAAATGTATAATATTGATTTTATTTACTTGTATTTTTTGGACTATTAAAAACAGGATTGTTGTCAAAATTGGCAAAGAATGGCTGAGGTACAATTGGTTGACTGAGTTTATTTGCAGGCATTGTAGTAGTAATAAATGGATCAGGAACTTTGCTGAAATCAGCTACAAAATCTGTTGAAAAATTATTAAAATTAACTGACTCAATGTTATTTGCTTTTGAAGCTGATACAGAAGACAATGTAGATGTTCCAGAATGTGGAACTCTTGGAATGTTGGTTTGATTAGATGATTGTGATTTTTGATTTGAGTTTTGATTTGCCATAGATGGATCCAAATAATATCTCTTAAGCTCGTATTTTGCACTCATTAAATCTTTCATCTTTTGTTCATCTTTTGTATCTAAGATCTGAGACGAATTTTGGTTCATCAAACCCAACCATATTCTTCTACAATATTCATTACCACGTTCCTTTATAAAATCTATTTCCTCTTGTGTAAATGTTGCCATAGAAATAGATTTTACTCTATGTGGTGGTGTCAAGCCCCGCCTGTAATATTAAATAAAACTATTGACACGAATTTCTATCTGTATAAATTAAAATATTTGTAACAAAATTAATTTTATTCTATATGAATTCATTAATAAAATTATAATCCTTGATAATAAAATTAAAAAAATTATTTAGTACTTTTATGTATTTAATAATGGATTTAAGTAATTATAACTAAATTTCTTAAATATTACTGCTACATCTAACATAGAATATAAAAATAACAAAAATGTTATTAAAAGTTTTAACAATTATATTAAATTTTAAGTATTATCATACAATTTTTAACAAAAATGAAAAACTGGATTAGAATTTAAAAATAAAAAATATTTACTGTTACTATTTATATATTATATTATATTACATTATATTATATTATATGTATTATATGTGTACTGTATTATATTGCACAAGCATACTATATTATATTATATGTATTATATTATATTTACTATATTTAGCAATGTAGCCATTCTTTCACTGAATAATTTTATATAATCAATCTGTATTACCATACTCAAACTAAGTTAATTATATTATGCTCTTCACAAAATAGTTACTGATTTTCTACATTTTTTATGAGTATAACATTTTGACCACTGATAACAACTACTACGCACAAAAAAAACACTGATGCTGATAGTATATTAACTTCCTGACCGCAAATGCGAACGTTTAACAAAGATCTACATTCTTCTACATAAGCTCATAGTAAAATGTATTCATCACACGTGTCTCAACAAAATCTACTTCACAACAAAATAATTATACTATTTATATATGTGGATAATAATATTTTGTTTTTACTTAAGAACGAAACAACCTGTCTAATATGTTCGAAATGTTGACATTTACACAATTATAATTATAATTGCTTAATCGTTAAATATTATGTAAAGCATTTGTAAAATACATTTTGTCAGTTCTACTTATTATGTAAAAAAATAATGAATAAAACAATCATTATGTTATTTTTTACAAGCCAGAAGATTTGGTACACTTTATTGGCTTCTTACAAGTAACGAATACTTACAGCATACCAGAACAAGAGGTACAGACGAATGAACCGATTGTCATGTTGACGTACGTTGGGCCTCGCTGATGGCAGTCAAAACATTCTTTATTACCGGGTTGCGAAACCAGCTCGCGTAATATTTTCAAATTCTTCTCATCTTGCTTTCTTTTCGCGGACGCCATCATATACGAATACACTTTATAATTCTAAGTGGAACAGACACACAACCGCTCTCGCGCTCTGCTTACGGAACTGACTCAATTTTCTGTCACGACAGTCGTGCGTGTTCCGTAACACATTCTAAAAATGTTTCACAAGAAAACAGATCAAACGCAGAATATGTTTGCAACGATTTTTTATAGTTGATTTTTACCCGTTAGTATTTTCATTTTTATACGAGAATATAAGAGATCATTGGCCAATTTTTACGGACTGAAGATGCATATGATTAAAAAAAATGTTTTTAAACTACCAATAGTAATGAAACATGAAAAAAGTATATTTAGATTTGTTCTCATTTTAATTTGTATAAATATAAATGTGTAAATATGCTTCAAAATATTTTTTAGAATATGAAAATTACATAAACCTCAAAAATGTTGACAAAAGTTGTAACATATAAAAAGTAATATTTAAATAAAATGGATAATGAAGTTACATATAATAAATTTTATTTATAATTAATAAACAAAATTTATTATTGATAACATTTAAGTGATATCATAAATTATATTATAAGGAAGGATCAAAAGAAAACGTTTAACATCTATATTATCATGTTTAATTGAAAATATTGTATTATAATATATTATAAAATACAAATATTAGAAAATTACAATTTTAAAATATTTATAGATGTTGTCTAGAAATGAAACGTAAGTTGAGTTATTTCAAGTATTTGGTGAAAGCTCTTTGTGTGTATAACTTAATAGCAGCGAGAAAAAAATAATTACCGCGAAAATTCAACCATGATGTATTTAAAATATTTTATTTTGATCAATTTCAACTGAAAAATTGAAATATTGTAAAATACTTAAAAATATAATTATAAAGGTTATAAATTTTCCATTTCAGATAACCTTAAAACGAGTTAAGAATAAATCTATTAACAGCTGCTTTTTGATTCCTATTTATAAGTTAAAGATAGCAAATAACTTTTACGTGCCAATTATATAGATGATTCGATTATAGTATAAGTAAAATAACTGTTCATAGGAACACAGTCAAGGTTAATAAGCGTGCACGTATGCAATATCAAAGAAACAGTTTATTATTTTAATTGTCATCTTCGAATGTAATTATTTTGTATCAATATTGAAAAACTTTGTATACTAAACATTTTATTATAATTCGCGCAAGAATAACATGTTATTAATTTTAAAGAATTATCGTTTTTATATAATAGTCAAACAATAAAATTAATTTATAAAAAAAACTAAATTGATTATTTTGAATAAGATGACATCGTTTAATACAACACCAACAAATACAAAAAGGTTAATTTTTATGTTTAATAAAAAAGAATACAATTTAGAGTACAATTAATTTATTTTCAACTATAAAATCAAGAAAATGTTTTAATTCTTTTTGACTTGTTTAGATTTTCTCAGATCAGAAATGTACGTCAAGGTAGTGTTATTGACTTGGATATTGACATGTTTCTCAAGATATCAAATTATGAAGATACAGTCAGACAGTTAGATATCTATTATGGAATTGGTAAGAATGTTTATTTCCATTTTATATTTATTTTATGTAATAATGATTTATATTAAGTAATATATATTTTTTAGTTAAAAGACAATTGTTACGTTATCAAAGTTGCATAACAGGTCTTTTTCCACAAATTTCAAATGATGAAACAGTTGGAAGTGTGAGAGAAAGTATTTATTGTGCTGCTGCTATATGGAGTTTGTATCAAGCATACAGGTAATAAAGTAGATTAAATAGTCTTCCTTATAATTACTACATTACATTACTATATTAATATTATACTATGTTATACCATATTACATTATTATTATTTTATAATCTATAATATTATGTTTATTAGACGTATAGATGATGATCGTGGAAAATCTTATGAACTTGGACAATCAGCTGTAAAATGTATGCGTGGAATTTTAGAATGTTGGGTAAAACAGTCACCTCGAATAGAATTATTTAAACGCAATCAATGTATTCGTTTTGCATTACATTGTAAATTTTATTTAGACACTGGTGATGAAATTTTTAAAGATGCAGACTACAACCATTTGCAAGTAATCATAATGCATAATGAAATATAAGAAACTGAAATAGTGTGGTTTTTATGAAGTATTATAAAATTTTTGTTTGGCAACAAGCTGAAATTCAATTTTATGTTATTTTATATACATGTTATACAACTGATATGATTTTATATCATATTAGCAATGAGACATTTGAAGATTGTTTTACATTAAACATATTAATAGATATTCTTATTGCCATACTTTATAAATTGAAGTTTATGTCATGAAATATTTTAATTCATTTTATTTCCACTTAAAATATTAAAAAGAGCACCTTTATGATAGAATATTGAAAATTTAAGTCATATATAAGAAAATTATTATTGATATTTTTTAATACTTCACATTTTATAATACTTCACATAATTTATTATGAATTTAAATTAATTATACTAATTTTTATTTTTTGCAGATTGATATTGTTTCCCTATATTTGATATTTTTGGTTCAAATGATCTCTTCAGGATTGCAAATTATATATACTCAAGATGAAGTGGCATTCATACAAAATCTTGTCTATTATGTAGAAAGAGCATATCGTACACCAGATTATGGCATGTGGGAACGAGGTAGTAGATATAATGATGGTACTCCCGAAATACATGCAAGTTCAATTGGTATTGCTAAAAGTGCTCTTGAAGCTATTAATGGATGTAATTTATTTGGGGAAAAAGGAGCTTCTTGGTCAGTCATATATGTTGACATTGATGCTCATAATCGAAATCGTAGCATTTTTGAAACAATGCTTCCAAGAGAATCAAGTTCTAAGGTAAAAGGTATTTTTATAAAATAATATTTTACATATTATACAAAAAAATGTTCCAGTTTAAATTTGAATATATTATACCTGTTTAGAGTGTAGATGCAGCTTTATTGCCAACAGTATCTTTTCCTGCATTTGCCACTCATGAAGAAGTATTATATAACGAGACAAAGGCAAACATAGTTAGAAGATTAAAAGGCAATTATGGATTTAAAAGATTTGGTAGAGATGGATATAAAACAACTATAGAAAACAAAGATCGACGATATTACAAATCTGGTGAAATCAAGGTCTCTGATGTATTTAATTGTTAGTATATATTATTTTTGAAATGTGTTTAAATGAATTTGCTACATTTATAATGTTCGTATAATTATATTAACTTTTTTTTTTTATTATAGAATAAAGTGAAAAAAATATTTTTCTGTTACAGGAGTTTGATAATATAGAATGTGAATGGCCATTATTTTATATATTTATGATCATTGATGGTGTTTTTAAAACCTTACCAGAACAAGTAGAAGAATATCAGAATTTGTTAAAAGAACGAATGTATAAAGATGTTAATGGGGGTATGTTGATAGGAAATGCATTTGGCTGTAATGATATAGAATATTATTACATTTTATTTAATTAAATAGATCCAGTAATACCTATGTATTACTATGTACCTGAAGAAAATTTAGAAGCAGAAAGGAATGATCCTGGTAGTACCTATCGAGTACCAAGTAATGAAGGAAGAGGGCAAAAAAGTACTGCAGATACAGAACTTGGACCTATGTATTTGTGGAATCAAGCTATGTTTATAATTGCTCAACTACTTACTGCTGGTTTATTACATATTAATGAATTAGATCCAATTAGGCGTTATCTTCCTTCATACAACAGACCACGAAAAGCTGGAAGGTATTCAGCTTTTCAAGTAAGTAAGAATACAATTTAATTAATATATTTACTAAATTAATTAGTTTTATAAATTATATCATACGTGTTTGTTTCATGCAGGCTAAACCAAGTATTGTAAGTAAATGATATATGTAGTATAGTATATTTTGGAATATTTTGTTTTAGTATTTGATAGTTAGATTGATAGTAGTCTTAGAATGTTAATTGAATAATATGTATGTATTTGAAGCTTTTAAATTAAACAAATGATAATATATGTATGGCATATTTATATTGATTTAATTGTAGTGTCGAATGTTTATTATTTACTTATTATTGATATCAAATTATTATATCAGTTGTATAAATATTTTAGCAATATACATATTCAAAACTTTTTAGTAATATAGTGCATGAAGCTTGAATCAAGGCATGATTTATTTTAGTTCCTTTTTAAGATGCTTGTTTTCATTGTTTTACTTCTTTTTCTCGGTATTACTTCTTAGTTTCACAACACTTAGTTTATACTTTCTATGGCACATTATCTAATTGACAGGTTTTTCTTAGAATTTCTAGTTTTTTAATTTTGAATGGATTAAGGAATGAAAAAATTTGTTATATTGATAATTTTAGCAATATTTTTATATTATAGTAATGCATGATTTATCCATTAAAATTTCTCTATATTAGGGTACTCATACTGATCTTGTAGTACAAATCGTCCTTATTGCTGAATCTATGCGATTACAAGCTATGATGGCAACATATGGTATACAAACCCAGACACCACATGAAGTAGAACCTGTACAAATATTATCATCTATGCAATTAGTAAAAGTTTATGAAAAATTGGGAGTGAATAATAAATTAAATTTACAAGGCCGACCTGCAAGACCAATTGGATCTTTGGGTACAAGTAAGGTGTGTTTAATGCATAAAATACAGATTGCTATAGGAAATTCAACATTATATTTTTAGGTTTATAGAGTGTGTGGTATGACGGTGCTCTGTTATCCATTAATATTTGAAGTGTCAGAATTTTACTTGTATAGAGATATGGCTCTATTAATTGATGATATTAAAACTGAGCTTCAGTTTGTAGGTAAATACTGGCGACTTTCAGGTCGACCTACTGTATGTCTTTTAATACGGGAAGAACATATGAGGTATTTATTCACTTCGAATGTAATTAATAATATATTAGTATATAAAGTAAAATAAAAAGTAGAGTAACAATTTTATATATTTTTTAAGTTTAATGTTATATACAAGAATCAAAAATTTCTATTTCCTTAGGGATCCACAATTTAAGGAAATGCTTGATCTTTTTGCTATGTTAAAAAAGGGATATTGTGATAAAACGAAAGTACGAATTGGTCGATTACAGAATCTAATTTCATCTTCGTGTATTGGTAATTAATGTTCATTAATTTTCTTTATTATCATATATCTAAATATTAACATATAAGTTCTATGTTGCATAGAACATTTGGACTTTATAAATACCATAGAAACAGATCTTGAACTTACTCAATTTAAGCAACTGGAACATGATTATATCGGATATCAAAGTTTGACAGATGTACCTAAAGCTTTAACATACACAGAAAGCATAAAAGATTATTCTGTAAGTGTCTGTAAATAATATTTATTTCTTTGTTTATTTTAATTATGTCATGTTTTAGCATTGTATGAATGAACCATTGTACAATATATTAAACGAAATTCGTAACAATAAAAGTTTATATACTTTGTGTCAACTTTATGGTATTTTATTGAAACGTGAAGGAATTAATTATGAAATTAATGGAATAACAGGTAGTAATTTACATTTTTTGAAAATAATATAAATTATTATCTAGAAATGATAAGTACATTATTATCTTATTTGATTAATATTTTATTTTAGTTGGAGACCATTTGAGATCACTATATCAACAAGCTGGGTGTCTTAGATATTGGATGGTTGTTCGTTATTGTAGTAGTTTATTAAATCATACTGTTGATAGCATAAGTCCTTTTATAACAGGAGTTCTTGTTAAAGGAAAACAGGTTCGTTAAATTAATTGGATATTTATAGCATATAAATAAAATTAAAATTTTTATTTGTTGCTAATATTAGATAACAGTTGGAGTAATTGGACAAGAAGAAACAGTATTTGATAAACCGATGACACCTACAGAAATTCAATCAGTTATGTATTCTACAATTCAACCACATAATGTAGTTCAGTCAGTACTTCAACAAGAAGTTCTATTATACTGTGGTCGACTTATTGGAACAAATCCAGAAATGTTTAAAGGAATATTGAAAATTCGTATTGGGTGTGTTTTATATTAGTATTAATATTTTAAAAAACAAAATTTAATTTAGTATAAATGTTACTAACCATTTTTTATATTTATAGATGGGTATTAGAAGCAATAAAACTTTATTTACAAATGTTTGTTAAAAACCCAAAACCAATTGAAAATTATAGTCCATACGAGATTCGTCGATTTCTCATAAAAGTGTTGACGGTTAAAGACTGGGCCAGTAATGAGAAGTATATTAATTTATTTTTTATTTGATATCTATTTACTTATCTATTGTACATAAATTAATGTATATCTTATGTTGTACCAGACTTACAGTGTTAGGACGCAGAAAAATTGAAGGTTGTTTATGTAGAGTTCCTGCACATTTTTATAATCACGTATGGGAAGTGTTAATGCGTTGCCCAGATGGTATTTGTGTTAATGGACGAGAATTACCCCAACAACCTACTCTGTCTAATATGACACGTTCAGAACTTACTTTCGCTTTGTCTGTAGAATCCTTACTTCATCATATACAATTGCCAGAATATCGTCAAATTATTGTAGAGGTATTCTCTTTATTTATTTATTTTATAAATATACTTTTTTTTGTAGTTTAGAAATACTAAAATTATATGTTTGTAAAATTGAACACACCTTAATAACAGAACTTCATTATAATTTTATTTAAATCAGATCTATCTGAATCTTTCAATTTAAATCAAAAGTATCGTTATATATCCGAAAAAAAATATATATATATATAAAATATATAAATGTATATATAAAAGTATAGAATGTTCTTTTTATAGTTACTGACTATTGTGTCAACAACTTTACTTCGAAATCCAGAGTTAAGTTTTCAGAAACAATTGAATCTTAATAAACTTGTTGAAGATAGTTTCCTCATGTATTGTAAGGTACATATTATCATTTTATGTATACTAATTACAATTAAATTAATTATTGCATATAAATTTATTTAGGATCATAACTTGGAGGAAACCACTGATCAATTATTATTTTTCTCTGCTCACTACTCAATAACTACAGGATATCTTGCTAGAGCTGTAGTTAATAATATGCTTACTGGAGGATGTTTTGTAACCATTAATGATATTAATGATGCAATTGAAAATAGAGAAACTTGCAAGATTACATAATGGTAAAAAGTAACTTTTTATTACAATACAATATTGTTTGTATATATATTAATCAGAGTTATATTTGTATAAAAATATTGTATTTTCTTAATGTGTGCATATTTTCCCAAGTTCGCTTTATATAAAAAAAATATCAAAATTATAGAAAGTAGTAATTCTATTTAAAAATCTGTATTTATAAGACAATAAAACACAACTATATATTAAAAAGTATATATTTTTTAATATATCACATTTCTATGGTATTTTCTACAAAAAATTCAATCAAATTTATCCATCTATATAAATTTAATGATATCATTGTTTAAAATCATCTTTTAGCGAAATTTGTATCCATTGCTCCTCCAGATCGCTGTATATTATTTATATTAGCTTTAATTCTAGATGCAACCGTACCTACTTCTGCAGCAGCTACTAATTGTTTTCTAACAAAATCTTGGTTATATACCTTTCCACCGTCTATTTCTTTCTTTTCTTCTTCACGATATTTTTTAACATTGCGTTCTCGTTCCTTATCTCTCCATGATGCATTTGCTATCATTTCTTGCCTACGTCGTTCCTTTTCTTCTTCTGTGAGATTTTGTTTTTTTTTTAAATTCCACTTATCTCTATTCTTGTCCTCTTTGTAATATTTTTTATCAGAAGATAATTTTGAATACATTGTTTCTCTTTGATTTAATTTATTCAAAACATCTTTATGCCTATCCTCAACAGTACTTGTGTCATTATATTTATTTCTATAAGTACTGTTTTCTCTATCTTGAGGACTTCTCGAACGAAGATCTTTATCTCTGTTCTTATTTATACCTCTTTTGTGTAATCTGTATTTCTTTTCCTGAATTGAACTACCATCACTTTCCTTGCTTGAACTACGAGTCTTAACACGCTTTTCATGAATTTTATATTCTTTTTCTTTTTCATTATCAAGTACTAAACATTTTTTCTTGCTATATTTCTTGATTTCAGTATTATTTTCTTTACTTTTACTTCTTTTTTTTTTATATCTTGTTATATATTCATTGCTTTCTTCACTGCTACTTTCTGATTCACCATTAGAATAATTTTCTTTTTTCAGTTTTTTGTTACGTTTATGTTTTACTTTCTTCATTGACTTTATTAAATCCTTATTATTAATTTTCTCTTTTAACTGTTTATATTTAGTAGCCAATAATAAATCTAATTGCTCTTCATCATCACTATCAACATCTTGTTTATCTTTTTTTTTCTTCTTTTTCTTTTCACTTTTGCTTTTTTTTGATTGCTGCTCCAACTAAACAATAATTGATAATAATAAGGAAATAAATAAATATCTAAACATTAGCTATTATTATCAATTCACATACCAATTGTCGTAATTGCTTCAATTTAACAGGATTTTTTAACAATTGATTTCTTGTTTCCATCTCTTTCTTCTTTATAGCATATAAAGGATCTTCTTGCATCTTTCTTGCTAAGTCTACTTGTTCGTTACCAGAAAAGAAACGTAGTGATGGTGGAATACATTCTGAAATACTTGGATTATTAATTATTGTGACATATAATATAAATTATAATAGAAATATAATATAAATATATAATACAAATATAAAATTTAAAATACAAAATACCATGTTCAACATGGTTTCTTGGTACTTGATTTAATTCAATATCCTTCTCCACCTGAGTCATTTGTTCAAAAGATTTATCAATTGGTCGTCCAAGTAAATATTCTTCTCTATTGATTAATTGATTTGGCCCTTTATACATCCAATCTAATTTTTTATCATCTTTTTTCTCTATTACTCCTTGCTCCATTGCATATTTTTTCATATCTTCTCGATCTTTTTCCATCTCTATTTCTTTTTTTAATTCGGCAATTTTTTTCTTTTCTTGACTTTGTTGTTGTTCTGCCTTCCAAACTTTTTCTATATTTTTCATAGTAGATGGATGCCATGATTTCTTCAAATTCTATCTTAACAAATTTTCAGTTTTATTAAATAAATATATCTACTATACTTTTATTTACTGAACGTGATGTATTTTCATTCGATTTAAAACTACGATTAAACTTACCAAATCTCCACCACCCATTTTGAATAGAGAGTAAGATATAAGCTCAGATATACTATTGTACTACTGAAATTGCTATACTTACAATTTTTTTCATTATATACAATATCGATAACCAAACTGATATTACTGCACAAGGTATAAAATGATATAACGGGTGTATTGTAAAAATATTACTAATATCACTAGTAAATATGACTAAATTATCAAATGTTGAATTCTAAGTTTTACATCAAGAATCTAGATTAAAGTAGTAAAGTACTTAATGCAATCTTTTTACGTTGTTTAAACATATGTACGACGAAGATATATTTATATAATTACTTTTATAATATTTTAGGATTATATTAAAGCTGAAATTTTACTAGTCACTTGAATATTTTTAGTGCTAATATGTCTCTATTAATTTAATGATAGTTAAATAATATAATAATGTTGAGAAATTGTTGAGAAACTTTATTAATTAATAAAATTGAAAAAATATTGATTATGTTCTTCTTTAAAACATTAATTATATTCATAGATCTAAATAATTTAATTGTACTGAATCTTATATAAATGGGATTATAATTTTATTTAGTTTAAAATTAAGTTTAAATTTAATGTAAATTTAAATTGAAAATTAAAAAACTTTTATTATATAAAAATAATTATAGATACAATAATAAGTTACAACTGAAAAATATAAATTGTATATATATTTTGTTAATAATTTTTAATAAATAAATTCCAGATTAAATGTGTTAATATAAAAGTATATCATAATTTATTTTATAAAAAGACAAGTAAATTTATATTCGAGATTACTAGTTACAATTTAGTAAATAAGTAATTTAAAATTTTAATATTACAAAAATGACGTTATTGAAACCATGAGTTACGACAAATATTTATTCTAAGATGGTAAATTGAATGTTACTTTTTAATCTTATTTAGGAATTTTCTTAATGGTCAAGTTTCATCATATTCTGAAATCTGACCTTGTAAATTAGAATAATTTAAACACTTGAAAATATCAATGTGCGATGTGGTAATGTGATATGCCAAAGTGAAGGTGAACAAAGTGTACGTTTATTTAATTTAATTAAGAGTTTTTCACATGTGATGAGTAATGTACATGAAAATTCGTGGTCTTGGATAGACTATTTGGTGGAAACAATCAATAAGCTTACCCATGGAGTGAGCTCAACGACGTTAGAGTTAACATCTCATCCGATTGACAGTGTTATTAACGATGAACTTCAGCAAAAATTATCTGATTTTTTTAACGAATTTATTGGTTTAGTAACATTTGATGATTTTCAGTTACATTTATTGAAGATCTTTTTATTTACATTTGTTAGTACCGTGGCATTAATTTTCATCGCTTGGCATATTTATGGTTCAAGAATTTCCGAACAATTTATGGAATCAAGTAAGAAAATTCATATTTTTATTTTAATATGTACGTATATATGCATAGTAATATCAAATAAATTGTACGGATATTATTATATTTGTATTTACAATAGTAAATATCTAATTCGAGTCATTTGTTATCATTGTGATGACTGTGCAATATATATATTTTTACGTCTATTTTAAGCTGTTTCTCCTAATCATATAGTAATGGAATTATTTCATTCTTATGAATTTTTAATGTTATTTGGCTTTCAATTTTATGATCACATATATTTATCTTGTTTGAAGAATTACGTTTTTGTATTAAAAATTTTAAATATATTTTAATTTTAATAATATAATTTGTCATAGAATCTATATCGGAAGATCTGGATTCTTCATCCGAGGAATAACTTGTTGCTTAAAATAAATTATTTATTCAAACCAAATAATTGTAAGCAAAATAGAATTATTTGTAAATATATATATATACATGTGTGCATTATTATATAAGTTTATAGAACTTTATTCTTTTGTAGGTTAAAGGATTATAGAATTATTAGTGGCAAGGAAATTTTAATTATAGTATTAATTTGTTTTTCCTATCTCTTATAATATCAACAAAAAAAATTATGACAGACAAAATTAAATTGTTTCTCCAAAAAATAAAATTGGATGTAAAATTTATGAATGCTGGAGAAGGTCACAAGTAAGGTTTATTATAATATATTATAATTAAATAATTAATTTTGATATGAAAGATAGAAGTTTATACCAGTTTTTTCATCAGTATTTCAGTTTTTATTAAACTAATACTATATTTTCTGTGTTAAGAGCATATCCTTAGAATATGTTTTCTAAATATATTTAATGTTTTGACATGATATTATTTATGCATTTTTCTTATTATTTTATATTATTTTCTTTGAACATTTGTATTTTATTATTATCAAATAATAAAAAGTTTATTCTAGTGTAGTTTGAAACAGTAGAAACTTATAGATGTGGATCGATACTCGATGTAACATTTTGTTAAATTTCTGTCTAATAACATTTATACCGCATTTATACCATATTCTTGAAATGTAAAAGCATTACCTGCAACAAAAGAAATGCAATACAAAAATATTTCTTTGATTTAATATGAGTCTTTTCTTTTAATTCATGAGAATCAAAAAAAAGTTTATTTAATAAAAATTATATGATATAGAAATAATTATATTTTTTTAGAACCATTTGTATTTTTTCTTTTAAATAATAATATAATATTATCTGTTTGAATTCCTATGGGAAGTTATTATGTTATAGTTAAGAAATAGTTCATTACATCTAAGCAAATAAAAAAGAAACTATTTAGTTATTTGCTAAAGTAATCATACAAAATTTTAGATCACAATTTCATAATTATAAAAAGTATGTCAAGCAAATTTTATTTTCATTAAAGTAGATATTTAATATAAATCTATACTTAAGTTAAATTATAATTGTTTAATACATAATATAATTATAAATATAAATTTATTTTATGTAGGTTGACTGATTCAACTAGTACTGTTGAATCTACATCTACAGTAGATCCAGGAGAAAGGGTAAAACCCACAAAAGAAGCTGAAACAGCTGGTCAAGCAGCTTTAGCAAGATTAGAAATAAAGAAGGCCAATATAAAAAATTTTAACACGTAAGTTTAACATGTCTATGTTTATTTATAACTGTAAACATTTAACAATTTTATAAAAATGTTATTTGTAGATCATATGCAACTATTAAAGCACAAGTAAAACGAGAATTAGAACAAGAAAGAAAAGCGCAGCAAAATGCACAAAAAGCACAGTCAGAAGAAAAGGCTAAAGATAAAATCAAGGATAATTCCTTATTAGCTGTTACCAATGTTGGGTATCGTTGTCCATATTTATCTGATGAAATATTATCACAAAATGAATGGAAAGTGAAAATAAGAGAATTTTTGTATGAACAATTAAAAGGAGAAGATGCAGGCTTAATATCTTGTTTAATTATAAAGAACTGCAATAAAGAAAAACGAAAAATTGACGTTTGTGTTGAAACACTTGGAAAATATTTGGAAAACATTATAAATAATCCAGATGAAGAAAAGTATAAAAAGATTAGAATACAGAACAAAATATTTCAAGTAATACTTTTGTTTTATTAATAAATGTATGAAGGAAGAATGTTTATAGAAATTTTCATAAGAAGTTTCTTTTTATGAATATATAAACGAATATAAGTAAATATTTCTATTAATAAATTAAAAATGATTAAATATAATTAACACCACATTTAAGGTATATTTTGATTATCAAAAAATTTGTTTTAATGGTGATGAAAGAAGATTTCACAATGTAGTTTGTAAAAATAGTGATTATAATAGAAATCATAATTTATTAATATTTATTTATTTAATAATATAATATACATCTGGATAAAAGTTGTAAAAACAATGAAAATTTCTATTTATTTTCTTCACTTTACATTTCAAAATAGTTAAACATTAACATAAAATTAATATTTTAAAGGATAAAGTAGTCCCAGTTGAAGGTGCATTAGAGTTTTTAAATGCTGCTGGTTTTCGTCAAAAGAAGTTATTGAATAATGATAAAGAGGAAAATTTTTTAGTTTGGAGTGCAGATAATTGCAATATTGAAAATGTTATTACATTACTTGAGGCACTAAAAATTGCAGAATCCATTCCTCTTGAATTGGATAGAAATCTCAAAATATTGTTACCTATGCAAGCAAGCAAGCAAACTAAATTACCACCAACCTTTTTCAATACAACTTCGGTAATTATGTATTTATGCATCACATTTTCTAAATTATGTAAAAAACTTTATTAGATAAATTATATTAAACATCTTTTTTTATTAACATTATAGAAGTGCAGCAGATGAAAGGAATCAGATGTTAATGACGAAAGCCATGAGAGAAAGAGAAGAAAATGAAAGGCTTAACAAATATAAGTTTTCATTGATTCGTATAAAATTTCCAGATAATCTTATATTGCAAGGAACATTTTCTGTTCATGAAAGTTTTCAGAATGTTGTTAATTTTGTTACTGAGAATTTGATAAATAATGAGAGGCCTTTCAGCTTAAGAAAGCTACCTAATACAACATATAATGAAGATTCCTTTGGTAAAACATTACTTCAATTGGACTTATTTCCTACTACAATTTTGATGTTTTCCTGGAAAAATAGGTCAGAACAAACAAATTATAATGAATCTGTAGGATATTTAAAAGAAGAATTACTTTCTCTCATGCAAATTGCTTGAAATTTTTCTTTATGTAATATTTAATCTTTACAAATTATGATTATAAATGTTGAAAAAGATAAAAACAAGTATCTTAATACGGCTTACCTTTTTTGATATAATAGAAATGAAAAAAAAAAAGATAAAAATAAAAGACAGTTGTATTTACATTCATTCCAAGTTTTAATAAAAATATGAAATTACAGTAGAACCTTACATAATGCGTGTGGAGGGAATGTTTCGTGTCGCCATTTTTGTATCATTTTTGAATATTTTAAAATAAAATTTATTTGGTTATTAAATTTGAATGTACCTTTTTCTAAATAACTGAATATTTTTAACATTACTTTTATCAGAAAAAGCTTTACAGATATTAGTCTATTAAAAGTAGTAATGATATTTTAAAAATTAAAGATAAATATTATTTTTAACGTGAATGCTATTAGTGTAGTATATAAATTTCAAAATTTGAAATTTCTCTACCATGTTATACAAAGGTTTATTAAAAATTGAATATATAAAAAAGTACAAGACACAAGTTATTAAGATACTTTGAATATTTGTAAATATTACATTTTATTGCTTCTTGTTTAGGTACATATAAACAAATTTTGTGTTTGATAAAGTTGTAATAAATTTATTAATTTACTACGATTCTATCTTATATTTTGAATTTTAAACAATGAAATGAAAGATAATGTGAGTTAATGTTTTTTAATACCTTTTTCTTATGAAAATATTACGTGTATCCAGATAAAATTAAATGAATCAAATTGCAGCTTGACATGCCTTGTTATTAATATAATAATAAAACATGTAACAAAAGTCATTATTTATCATGCATGTACATTAATCCTGCACATTTGTGCATTTTGGCACTTCTGTTTTACATTAATATTTAATATTTTGTATCAGTCTTTATACTTTTCTTATATGTTTAAATACTATTGCTGTTTAAAGTATTGTGGAAAAGTAAACATATGATAAATAACTTATAATGTGATATGTATAGTATATCCTATTCATTCAAGTAATTTATATGGTAAAGATGGTCAAAGACGAAATATAATATTAATGTAACTAAACAATATATATGTAACTATAATATAGTAGAAACAAAATAAATGAATATCAATAAATATGAGTCTTGTTTCATTAGTATAAAACTGTTAGTTTAACAATTATGTACTGACGGAACAATATAGTGTCAACGAAAATATATTTTCTCCACTAAAATATTTAAGCAGTAAAAAAAAATTGAAATTTCATCTTGTTTGTTGTGGTATATCATTAGATGTATGATTTCTTGTTTCAACAGGTAAAGCAAGAGTAGCTATTGCAGCACATAATGCTGTTGCAGCATAAATTGTCATTGCTCCAGTAATAGACCACTGAAGAAATACTTGTGCTATGTATGGTGTAACCATTGCACCAATCCTAGCCATTGCACTACATGTACTAACACCAATACTACGTAAATGTGTTGGATATACTTCTGGAGTATACACATATGCTGCTTGAAACACACCAGCAATCAAACCTCTAGCTAAAAAAATTGCCAGTGTTAATACTACTCTACTTAATAGACAAGCTCTGCCTAGAAAACAAATTAATATTGCAAACATTATTAGTTGAAAAGCCATTGTCTTTTTTCTACCAATTTTTTCAATTGCAAAAATAGTAGAAAAAATTCCTGGAAATTCAGCTAACGTTGTCCAAAGAAGATCGATGTAATCACTGCGTTCTAAACGACAATCTAATTGACAAACATCTTCCTTTTTGTTTTCCCATAAACTGCATTGTTCAGATGATGTATGAAATAATTCTGTAGTCATTAATACAACGCCATAGTAACAAAATGCTGTACTCATCCTAAAATTATAGAGTTATTATTTATATAATATACAAGTATATTGTTAATATGTATGCCATATAATATTTACCATACAAGCCAAAGTAAAGTAGATGTTCTACACATGTCTTTACTTAACACATCTTTCAATTTGCCATGATTAACTTGATAAAAACGATCCATTACTAATCTTCCTGGAGGTAAAGGTTTTTTATTTTCTCTTGCTACTCGTTCTAAAGTTGAAACAGCTTTATCCATTCTTCCACTTGTTATATCAAATACTGTGGATTCTGGTAACCACTGTAATATAAATATCATGAAAGATGTTTTTTATATTTTTAGTATTGACTATTATTATTACTCAATTTGTGATACCTACTGGAGTAATAATAGCAAATATAAGAAGTGGTATCGTTGATAAAATGAGAAGCCATCTCCAACCAAAGGTTGGCATTATTGCTAATGCTATTGCTACTTCAAAACAAGCTCCAAGTGCCCAAAAACACTATAAAAAATAATCATTTTATGTGAATAGTACAAATATATATATTAAATTTATATATGATTATGCTTACATCTAATAAAATTACACATTTTGCTCTTTGTTTTGCTGGAAGAAATTCTGCATATAATGTTACTCTAGAATAAAAATGATTAATGTTACTTTTACCTAATTTAAGAACATAGATACTTTTATTTATAGCACTTACCAAATACTTACGATTGTGGTACACAACCAATAGCAAAACCAACTAATCCTCTAAGTAATAAAATCCATAGAAAATTTGGTGCAAAAGCACTTAAGAAAGCATAATAAAGTAGCAATATTGCACATAGAGTTAAGGATTGTTTACTACCATATCTATCACTTAAATTACTCCAAAATGTAGAACTTAGCATCATACCTAAAAAAACAACCTAAAATAAATACAATAACATGTTACATAAAAATTATTAGCAGAATTTTATTAAATATGGATATTTTATTAAATAATGTTACCGTAGTCGTTAAAGCCTGTTGATATCTAGTTATACCCCAATCACAATGCAATGATGGACTTAAAATGCTTAATATTGTTATTTCCATACTATCTACCATCCAACAGAGACCCGTAAATAAAGATAGTTTAACTTGAAATTTCCCAAATCCTAATGCATTGATAGCTTGGATAACAGTAAAGGTATCTGTCAATTAATTTTTTATATTAAAAAATATATTAGATTTCAATAAAATAAACCAGTTTTTAAATAAACTAGCTGCAACTATTATATATAATATTATGCGTTCAATTTTGTATATATTAAATTGAAAATAACATAACTTATTATAAGTTATTTACATACATATATCATAATATATATAGACTTTATATATAGAATAATTAAAAAAATCATTAAATTATCAACTCGCTAAACATTGATACAATATGTACAATACATAATTACAATGTTATTTGTTAAGTAGAATCATATGATATAAAAATACATGAAAATACTATTTAAATTAATATGCATGCACCTATGTACAAATAAATTGTTAATGATATTTTATTCATACCCAAGTAAAAAGTAAGAATATCACTTCAAGACTTTCGTAAATTAAATTTGCAAGAAATATTAATTAAAGCAATCCCATTTCTGAAAATTTAACGTTATATTTCCATGCATAATAAGATATTTACACAACTTACAGTTACCCGCTCCTTTACAGATAAGTTTAAGCAGATTATCCTGTACATAAAAATTGTCAGCAATATTGTAAAGATACATATAGGAATTTGTACATATTTCTTATAATATACATGTTTAAAATAAAGTTTACCATCTGGAATAACTACAACCGAAGAAAGTTCCAAAGAACGTTCAACACAATTTCCAAAATTTCTATTGCATCTTGAAACATTTTCTGAATTAACATTTAGTTCAGAACCACGTAATTCTCCTAACTCACGATAAGGTTCGTTAGACGTTTGTGACGAATTAGACATGATTGTTTGTGTATCATATACACGTAATAAGTAAATAATTAATGAAACTAAATTATTATAATATTTATAACTGTCACTAGTAACACAATTAATTTATATGTTGATTCAAATGAAACAATTACTCGATCACGTATTAGAATCTTCATTAATATGTAGAGCGTAACAATTCCTATAAAGGTGAGGTTAGACTTGACAGTCTGTTAATTGATCTTACCAAAACAAACATTGAATAGCATAAAATATAAAAAATTACTAAATCTATAAAATATATAAAGAAAAATTACTTAAACAATGAATTTTATAACAGCTTTTAATTAGATAAAGAAATTTGATACATGAATTAATAAAATTTATTACATATTGATTTTTGTGAGAGACAAATTAAAGTATTTAGTTTGGAAAAGATTCTAGTAACACAAGATTTCTAGTCATTTTTTGTTACTTACTCAAATATACAACAAAGTGGATCTTCTATAGTCATGCATAATTTCAGGATATTTATGATTGATGCTCCATGTAAAACGTAAATAATTACCAAAATACAAAGAAATGTCACAACATTTGTGCAATGAAAATAATAGCGAATATATAAGTATTTTTACAGTTGAAAATATTGGATAAACTATTTTTAATGTATGTGAAATTTTATATAAGAAATATTTAATGAATGTCATATGTGACACTTCATAATTATCATACACGGTCTTGGAATATAAATTAATTGTCTTTGTATCATTTAATTACGTTTAAATTATGAGTGTTGACAGCGAAAATAAATCAAATGAAGCAATTGTTACGTTTACACCATCAGCAGACCAAGAAAATGCTGATAATGGAAATACTGAAGAAACTACTATAACCCCTGAAATGGTGTTGCGGTTACCCACAATTACCGATAGTAAAATAACGTTTCTATTAATTCAGTATATTAATAAATAGGCAAAAATGAAATAAAAATTATGTATTAATATTAATTTCAGAGTACTTATGTTCTCCTGAGGCAAACATTTATGATATAGATTTTACAAGATTTCAAATTAGAGATTTAGAAACAGGAGCAATATTATTTGAAATAACAAAACCACCAGCTACTGGTTAGCAATTGTTACAGTATTGTTATATCAATGATAGTTGCGAAAATTTATACGAATATATTTATATTTCATGTATTATAAAAGGTAAATTTTATTATTTATATGTTAGAATCTGATTCCAACCTAGATGTAGAACCAGACAGTGAAGAATCTAATTGTGATGATGCTAATACTGGCCGCTTTGTACGGTATCAGTTTACACCACAATTTCTTAAACTAAAGACTGTTGGAGCTACAATTGAGTTTCTAGTGGGTTCTAAACCAGTGAACAATTTTCGAATGATTGAACGTCATTTCTTTCGAGACAGATTATTAAAAACCTTTGATTTTCAATTTGGATTTTGTATACCAAATAGTAAGAATACTTGTGAACATATTTACGAATTTCCTACTTTACCTGCTGATTTGGGTAAGCACCAAATAATCCTTCGATATAACTTTATTAATTTTTAATAATTCCTATAATATTAGTATCTGAAATGTCTTTGTAGTTTCTGAAATGATTGCAAATCCATTTGAAACACGTTCAGATTCATTTTATTTTGTGGACAATCAATTGGTAATGCATAATAAAGCTGATTATGCATACAATGGTGGACATGCACATGATGTACTTTAGTAGGTGAAGATAATAGGAAACTTGCACTTTGCAAAAATGATTGTGATAATAGTAGCAAATATTTAGCTAATTTAAAATTACAGTTTTATTTCTTTTTACACATAATTACAGTTTTCTTAAATTTTTCACATTAATATTTAAATGTTGAATTTTGCATTATTTACAATTTTTCAGATTTCTTTAACTGAATTTGTATCTAGTTGAACACTTTTACATTAATCTTATACTTAATTAAATATATTTTGCTTTCATCGTCATTAGAAATTCTACTTGTATTTAATATTTGAACAGTTGCTTTTTACTTAAGTGTGGCCTTATGTAAAGTTATTTTCAAGTTTTAACAGTATTCAATTTTAATATTAAACGTGCATTTCTTATGAAAGCAGCAGACAAAACACTAAAAACATCTTGAGCTATGTACAGTTTTGACAAGCACAAAATTCACGATTTATTTATATTGCATAAAATTATATTTTACTTTACTATCTCTCCTTTATTTTATATGTAGAGTTATAAATTTCACAAATACATGTATATATTTACAAAACATATTGCGTATTTTTTTTACATGTAAAATAATAATAAATTATGGCTGATTAATGAAATCAACTACTATTTTTAAGAACTCTGTTGGTTTATCTGCATGTACCCAATGATTTGCACCATTTATATAAATAAAATTGGCAGAAGGAAATAATTTTTTAATTTTATCATGATCGTCACTTTTTATGTAATCACTTTCAGAACCACCTATAAACAATGTTGGTCCGTCGTAAATTTTTGAATCTATATTTGGGAATACTGCTATTTGTGTTGCAAAGTTTTGCTCCAACACAGGTAAATTAACTCGCCATTTATATTTTCCAACATCTGCTTCTACTAAGTTCATTGCTAAAAACTATGGTAAAACGTTTTAGTTTATGTAAACATCAGGTTTCCTAATTATTTATATTGAATGTAATAAATATTTAATTACCTGACGTAAAGGTAAAGGTTCAACAACATTTGCAAGTTGGTCTTTTACCATGGCACGTGCTTTTGTTAATGTCATAATTCCATTTAACTTTATTGAACGCATTGCTTTAAATATCTTTTCCATCTCCATAAGATTAGGGCTAGTTCTCACGGGAGACATATCAACTACTATTAATTTTTCTATTAGTTTTGGATTATTTAAAGCTACATACATCATTGCAGAACCTCCCATACTGTGTCCTATTAATGTTGATTTTTCAAATCCTAAATCATTCATAAGTTTAACTACATCTTGTGCCATATGTTTGTATGTCATGTCTGCAGAATGTGGAGAATCTCCATGATTTCTTGCATCTATAGTTATGACCTATAAATTTATTTCAAGTATTCCTCATATTATATAAAATACAAGTATGTACCTTACGATCTGTTTGTTGATGAATTGATTTTGATAAAATATTCCAATTAGTCTTTGAACCAAAAAGACCATGCATTATAATTATAGGTTGTTTGGAAGCATTTTCATTTTTATTCATTGATTCATAAGAAACATATGCAAGTTTTACTGGTAATACACTTAAAAAACATTAACAATAAAAATAATACTGAAGGAAAACAATGTACACATATTTATAGAGAGATATATATCTAATACATACGAATTAGAATTGCTACATATTCGCTTGGAACATAAATATGATACAAAAGATGAAGTAACCACAAAATCGTGTCTTCGACCGTGAAAAATATTTCGTTTTATTATTAAATATCGGTAGCAGACACCACTCATATTTTATATTTGTTAGTTTTTAAAAGTATTTAACAATAATTCTTATTCACTTATTTAAAATTTGTATAACATTTCGATTGTTTTATACATATATATATATATACAAAATTATATATCTTTAATATTACTTTTTGATAACATGAATCGGGAACTATGAATGAATTCTGTACAATAATAATACGTTATAAATTGGTATTATAATTTAGAACTTAAATTATATAAACGATAAACATACATGTAGTTATATTATTTTAGAATGTTAGATGTTATATATATTCACTATTAACGTAAATTCATTTTCGTACATATATTCCTATGTAATGTATATATAATTACTATAGTTGAATGATCTACTTTTCATATTTACTATCGTGTTGTGATATTATTTTTATTGTTAAGTATTATTAATAATTTAATAATTAAGATCTTTAAAAAATTATACTAATATATCATATAATTACAATATTTAACATATAAAAGGTATATACAATATATAGGATAAAAAAATTTTTAATATTTTAACTTTAAATTAATAACATTTTTATAAAATATAAATGTATTTGATCATGTTTAAGAGGGTATCTCTTTCTAAAGTAGATAAAAATTGGTAACTTTTTAAAGTTTGAGACATTTTCTTTTATTTTGTTTAAAGTTGAGTTACTTAAATACCTGTATTTGTAGGTAAAAATTAAACATTGTTTTCATATGGTGTTTTAGACACTAATAAAAAATTTGGTAACGTAAAATAATAAAATAAAATCTAGTAAACAAAAGTATTAATTTTTTTGATGAAGTATTAAACTTTACTTCTAATATTAAAGATAGTAAATACTTCTTTAATATTAATGCGAACTATTGTATAACATGAACATAAAAGCTTAAATTAATTATTTACTTTATTAATGAAATGCTATACAAGTTATTTTTAAATCATTTTAAAACAAAAGTATTTATTTGTAACTTTGGTAGATAAAATGATATTTATTAGTTTAAGTTTAGTGCCTCAAAATTACACATACATAAAAATATAAAATGCTATTTATATAATATGATTATAAACATAAGTAAAAATATTATTTTAAAGAATTTATATATAAAAATAAATTACTTGTATGCATTTCAAACGCCAACGATTTGTTAATGTTTAAAATTTTATTATATTATTATATGTATTCTCAATTATACAGAAAATACACATACATAATTGCAGAATTTATAAACAAATATTAATTTGAGTTAATTTTATACAAATACAGGAATTAAAATAAAATAATTAGTTTTGTAGTAAAATTATAATGTAGTAATAAAGTCATTTTAATTTAGTTTTTTTTTTACTGAATTTCTAAATCACCAAATTAATTTATAATTATAGAAGTGCAATATACTACCACTGCAATCACATATATATTACTTTTTAATTATATATTTACGTATTAATTAATAAAATAATTTTCATTTGATATTTAAACATATTGTAATTAAAAATTTATATTATAATGTGAATTGTCTATTAAAATAAGTAGGACGTACATCTATTATGTTATTAATTTTATGGTAGAATGCATACGTGGCGCTGTGGTAGCAACATGCCACTGTGAAGTGGCAGGAAAAAGAAAGAGCGTATGTCGTTTTTAATTGGTCCACATTGTAATTTAATAAAATGAGGTGGCTTATTTCTTGTTTATTTCTCATTTTTTTGAGCTCTAACGCAAACTGTTATTTCATTACTGTGGATGCTCATGCTGAAGAATGTTTCTTTGATAAGGTAGAAGCAGGCACGAAAATGGGTTAGTTTCCTTTTGTACTTATTTATAATACACATTGGAAAATAATAAATTACAATTTTTTAAAATAAAACTTTAACATAAAATTATATTTATATTTATATCTAAATATTGATTGAAGCAATTTTTCAGTATTCGAAGTATACAGATTTAATAAAAGGGTTGTTATTGCTTTTAGAACTTCAAAGTTACGATATAAAATAACACGAAACAATGTCATTATGTCACTAAAATCTGTTGATTTAAATAATTAAGATAGTTGTACAACTTGACTGAAAAAATGTGTATAAGTATTTTGTGGAATATATTAAAGATATTGTAATATTGAAAATATAAACAATTTTTTTTATGCAATTACTTTTATAAATAAAATCACTATTTTATTTTTATTAATACAATGAATTACAATAGCTAGTAAATATAATAACTAATAAATTCAATGTAAGCTTATTAAATTTTGATTTAAGAAATATTTTAATACAAAGAATATAAAATATATATCTAATGTGATTACATCTGTTATTATCAATGACAATATTTATAAGAAATCTATAATTTTTTTATTTTTTAATACATATTTTATAATCTATACATTTTCATCATATCATATGTTATTCTAAATATATATCAAAAATTTAATTGGCAGTAAATATTTTATTATTAGATTTTATAATGTAACATTATAATTTAATGTAATAGATATTAATATACCGAAATTTATGTAGCAGTCATAATTGACATAAATATGTCAGTAAAAATCTTTTATGATATTATATTACAGATTTATATCAGTTTTGTATACATATTATATTTATGATGTATATACTTTATAATTTTTAAATATTTATTAAATTTTAAGTATAAGTATTAACCATTAATATACTGTAATATTCTTCGAACTGGTAAAATATTTATATAAGCATTTCATATGTAAAAGATAATAAATATCATGTGTATTACACTATGAAAAAAAATATAATAAACTTTTATGTTATCATATTTTTATAGGACTTACATTTGAAATAGCTGAAGGTGGATTTTTAGACATAGATGTAAAAATAATTGGTCCCGATGGAAAAATAATTTATCAAGGTGACCAAGAAAGTAGTGGTAAATACACATTTGCTGCACATCTCCGTGGCATTTATACATACTGCTTTGGAAATCAAAAAAGTAGTATGACACCAAAAGTTGTAATGTTTAATATGGATATTGGCGAAAATCTAAAGCCTATAGAACATACTTCAGATGAAAATGCACCTGATGCATACCATAACAAAATAGATGATATGATCAAAGAATTAAGTACAAGTTTGTGGGTTGTGAAAAGTGAACAAGAATACATGCAGGTAATATTTCTTATAATTTACATGTAAATAATTGTTATTATATATCATTAATATATATCTTATATACGTAATATAGATAATACATAAAACAAGTATACATAAATAGCCTATAAAATATATACATCCAGATATTGTATTAAAATTTTTAATAAAATTAACATTTTATTTTTAGGTTAGAGATCGAAATCATAGAGCTATCAATGAAAGCACAAATTCTCGTGTAGTTATGTGGGCATGTTTTGAAGCTACAGTTTTGGTTTGTATGTCAATAGGACAAATTTTGTATTTAAAACGATTTTTTGAAGTTAGGAGAGTTGTCTAATTTAAAACATGCAATAAAACAATACACTCATTGTACATTTTTTTATATGATTAAGTTATAATAGAATTAAAAAATTTCAGCATTTTGAAGTTATTTCTTTCCTTAAATTTGACATAATGAAATTAAAATGCAAATATACAGTGATGTTGAAAATCTATAAAACTGTTAAAAGTAAAATATTTCTTATGATGCTAAGTAATTTAAAAATAATCATACTGTATATTTAAGATTTACTTCATAAATTTATAAAAATGAACAAATGTTTTTTGTACCAAGGATAACTAAAAATTCAGTTTATATGGAAATTATAAAATATACGTTATATGAAACCAAATAATTGTTATATCAATGATCAATTTGCAGAGTTATTATTTTTATTAAACAAATATGTACAAAAATTTGTATTGAAATATTATGTCATTTCCATATTCCAATTAAAATACTATAATTTGTCTATTAATTGTATAAGCAAACATTAAAATAATTTAAGAAGTACAACTTAAATTAATACCATTTATACAATTGTACAGAGTTATATAATATAATAAAACTATATAAATTAATTGTTTGATACTTCCATTAGATTTATCTGGATATAAGATTTTATTTATGATATAATAATTTGATTAATAATTTGATTAATAATTTTGGTAAGTTCCATTAAACATTGAGAATTTAAGTACATAATATTAGTTATTAACAAAGAAAAACATACCTCATTTTATTTACTTATTACTTTATTGATACATAATGATTAAGGAACTATTTGCATCAAAATTCTTATGAAAGCCATTTCAATAAGAAAACTCAAATTCGAACTTTTTATTTAAATAAAATTAATTCAAATTAAAACACGAAGAACTGTTTCAAGTTTACATTTAGTTTGTTTCTTATTAGTTTATTTAATCGTCAGTTATCATAAATCTTATTAAAGGAGACAAAAATTGCTATAACATATGTGTTAGCATATATCTGTGTTTTTATAATGTATAGAACATATGTAAAATTGTAGATATATCTACATAAAATTTATAAGTAATTTGTAAAATATATATAAAATTTATAAAATGCTTAGGTAATTAGATATAATTAGATATATCAAACATTTTAATGATTTGACGAATAACGAAATCGTATGATTTTCAGTTGATTATTATTAAATGCATGTATATGTATGTGTGTGCGTGTGTGTGATGTATACATATATATGTATATTTTTCTTTTTCGTTTTTCTTTCTTTTCTCTTTTATTATAGGAATAAACATTTTTAATTTTCGTCATTATTATCCTTATTTCTCAAATAACTGACATTCATTAAAGATTATTATATTTTTATTCATGGAATATTATAGTACATCCATATGCAAGATGTTAAAAAATTAGACGATTAAATTAAGTCTTAAATAAAACTAAATAGAATAAATTTTTTCATTTTTTTTTTTTTTTATCAATTTATCACTTTTTGAATTCGTTCATTAGCTTTGTATAACATCATTTTGATTCACAAGTATGTTAATATATCAATGTATTTGTTTTTTTCTAGCACGGTATAATAATTTCATCGTTCAAATTCGCAATGTCATTTTAACAGAACATTAACATATGTTTCGCTAAACTTTGTTTATTGAAAAAAAGAACTATCAATTCAATTTTCAACCTTTTTACTAACTTACTAGAACGCGGTATATTGAAAATTATTTTATTTGTTTATTCCAATATTTTCGTATTTTATTAGTATACCATTATACTACTATGAAACGATTTCTTCATAACAATTGTTAACTTCTAGATTTGAGATGAAAATAATAAACCAAACAATTTTTCTCATGATCCACAAACTTTCTCAAATTTTCATGATTTTTCTAATTAACCAATTTCTATCGTACGATTGTTTGTTTACAGTATCACCTACTTATTCCTTTTTTCATCTTATTTTATACCAGGGAAGAGGTTATTCGAATTTTTGAACTTCTTATTTTCTTCGTATTTAAAATTCAAATACGATTATTCAATTTACCAGGTTTCTGTTACCAAATATTCCAAAACCTTGATACCATTCATAGCGTAGCCCTCTAGCCAGGTAACTCGTCTGATTCGTGAAGCAAGCGTGAGAATAAATGAATGAAATAAGAAGGGTGGTTGAAGCACCCTTCTGGTATTCACCCTAGGGCACTTAAGTTAGAAAGGCTCATTGTCCGCTCCTTCTCATTAGATGCCACCTAGCAGTTCCATCGACCCTACGGAGTAACAATACTGTGGATGCTTTTTTTCTTCCTTCTTCTTGATCTGTAGCTACAGGAAACACGAGCGGATTGCATGGCTCGGTGTCTGCTCTAATCCCGGCCGTGATTATACCGAAAGACAATACTTTTGGTATTCCAGCAGCTTGTGTGAAACGTCGGAAAAGGAATGGACAGTATTACTGTTCAGTGGTTCGTTTGAGTTTGAAAGTTGGAAAATCTACAATCGGTAACTTTTATGCGAGCTTATATTCATCTCTTATTAAAATATATTATACGAATTAAACTAATGGAGATAATAAGGCATAAATTAACGTATCCCATCGTTTATCGGGAATATTCTTTGTTTAAAATTATTAGATCTTCGGTTTATTATTAAACGACAGAAAATTTAAATAGTTTATTATTTATACATTCATTTACTATTTTAATAACTTTCTTGTAATTTATAAAGAATATTATGTTACTTACTAAAGATAAATGTAATAACATGGTGATCTTTTATGTTTGTTAATTAAAACTTATATTTAAATAATTATTATCTTTCTAAACATAGTTAATAAAAGGTTTGAATAAACAAATTGCGGGTAACAATTAGTGGAACAAAAGATACACTGTAAAAAAAGTCTTGTACGCTGTAATAAGAGAAATTCTGAAATAAGAAGCACTTATGATTTTATGCAGAAGATAAGATATTGAATTAAGAAAATTAGGATACAGAACAAAGTAATTTGAAAATAGTTAGTCGTAAAGGTTTGTTACTAATTTCTTAAAATCGATCGTTATAGAGAGTCGATTTTGTTTAATGATTAAAATGATGACGATGATGATACGTAATATTTGAATAAAACCTGTCTGAGTCATCAATAACGAGATTTATATTCATTTAATTAACATAAATTTGTAGTAAAGTAATTTGTAACTTTGTTAATTCTAATTTGTTTATTAGAATTTAATTTGTTTTATCAGAATAAACTAATAATTGTTATTTCATTTGCAATTCATTGCTAAAAAGTAGAGATCACGTTATCTTTTATATAAAGAAAAGTTTTATTCTAACAATAGCGATTTAGATATATGAGACAGTCATTATTGTACAATTTTTAAATGTGAATCATGAGATTCTTCAGGGCTATATTCATGTTTAATCGAGACACTTACGATGAATCAGTTATAGCCATACGGTTTACGTTTTGGTCGTGATATTTGATTATTCTGTCAGATACCCTGTCACTGGACGTTGTCATTAGCCTTCGTTATCGCTTAAAATTAATTGGAATGCTTCATGCGATGTACTCAGTTTCGTATACCCTAATTCATCGAGACCATGTTCATAAACTAACGACTAATTTATGTTACCATCACGGAGTACCCGCTGTTGATTTATTATTACAGACTGTCACTATGGTTAATATAATACCTTTACAAAATACCATCAAATAATTTTGATTACCATACTATTATTATAGAATATTACTATGATTATGACATTAATATCACAGAGTACCACTAATTGTAAGATTATTATGTGATTGTCATAAAAATATTACAACTGCTATAGCAAAATGTATAGTTTTAAACGTACACAACTATATCTGTATTTTCTTATGAAAAAAGCAAAATAAAACTCCAATTTTACATAATATCAACATTCTGGTATCGTTACATAATATTTATTAATATTGATACATAATGCCATAATATTCCTACGAAGAATGTTTCTAACTTTTATTACCTATAGATTTGTATTAGGAGTTTATATACTATAAAGTTATACTCCTAATTACCAATAATATTAATTACTAAACTTTACTGAAGTGTCATGTGAATAATCAAGAAACTTAGGCAAATATTGTAAGTTCAAATATACATCTCTTTATACTCCTGGAACCTATGAAAACTATTAATTTTTCACGTTGAGTGTAATACTCATCCAAGGATGTCACTCACATTGTCACGCAGTTTCGAATTCGTCAATGATTTTTATTATTTTTAGTTACAGTTGACGTGTAATCAGGCGTGTAACAAACGATACGAGATTATATAGGTAATTACCGAATTTACTAAATGTACGATTTGATCGCGGTCTCGTATAACAGACTACCATTGTGAACAACGTTGAAAAATATAACATACGGTCGTAAATTCATCGCCATTATGGTGCGATATGAGAGCAAGGAAAACGTTCATTATAAATGTTTCGCGAACAAACTATGAATTACAGAGTTTATTGAACGAGCTCTTTTTCTTTTTTCTTTTTTAAAGATCGTTGATTATAAACGTTAGTTTAATCGGTGATTATAAATCTTTCAGGGTGAACTACGAGTTACACGATAAGGAGTACAGAGTGTGAAGTTTTTGCAATCATTGAAGGTAGTTTATAGGTCTAGGAATGGATTGTTCTTTATAAATCAATTATTAACTTGCAACGTGCCTTATTATTGATTACTATTTTATTACTACTATACTATCATATGCATGTATATTATGTACATGTATATTGTTTGTTGTTTATGTTAGGTGAATTTTTGTAAATTAGAATTATTTTCATGAATTCTTTTACGGATTATTTTTATTTTTATAAATTGAATAATAATATAAATTATTACGTACATAAACGAAGTAATAATTTATAGGCTTTTATAAATTATTATTATTGCTGATAATTACTTACAGTTATTATTTATTGCTCGAATGTTAAATTTAATAATTTATTGAAAAATGTAAAATTTAGTTATTAATTGTAAATTGCAATATTTTCAACTGTTAAATTAAT